ACCAGCTAGCCGAACAGGAATGGGACTACCTATTGCCAGTGGTCCAACTTTCAAGTGATGCGGGTCATGTTGCGAGAATACCAGCTAGCCGAACAGGAATGGGACTACCTATTGCCAGTGGTCCAACTTTCAAGTGATGCGGGTCATGTTGCGAGAATACCAGCTAGCCGAACAGGAATGGGACTACCTATTGCCAGTGGTCCAAGCCAACCTCAACCAAACACCGGCAGCATCACTGGCGAGCAAGTCGCCGATGGAGCTATTCACGGCTTTGAACCCGGCGACTCCCCTGGATGTCGTCGTGGTGGGCATGAACAAGGAACTCCGAGAGAGCGACTGGACGGTCAAGGACATCCCCGAAAACCTGGACAAGCTGCGTGCTAGCCTGCAAGTCATGCACAAAGAAGTCCTAGACAAGAATGCGATGCGTGCAGCGAAAGCGACAAAAGCGACCGAGAAATACGAACAGTGCAACGTCAGCGAAGGTGACTACGTGCTCTGGTCCCGTTTCGACGAACGCTATCACCCCATGCTGCTCGTAACCTGGACAGGCCCCTACCGAATCAAGGAAGTGGGCGAATTCTCCGTCGTTCTGGAGCACTTGGTGACCCACGAACTGCGGGAAGCGCACACATCAAGAATGAAGCTCTACGCTGAAGACAGCTTTGAAGTGACCGAAGAAATCCTCGAACACGTTTCCGAGCAAGGGATCATACTGAAGGTCAAGTCCATCGCGGGACACAAGTTTGTCGCGGATGTGAAAGACTTCATGCTGGAAGTGCTTTCGGAAGGTTTTTCAGATATCGAGTCCTCATGGGAACCGCTGTAGAAGCTCATGCATGAATGCCCAACCGTTGTGAAGAACTACGTGGAAGGCATGAAGACAGCGAGCGAAGGCGAAGAACTAGCGAGGCCCAAGTGTGTCCTGCGGGACATGACTTGGGGTGTGTGTTGTGGTGGGCGACTTAATCCAAGTCCCGCCATGACACAGGTGGTCCTCAACCGAGGCCACCGGGTGCCGACCCTTGGCGAACCGACACGAAAAGGCATGGTATTACTATTAGTATTACTAGTAGTACTAGGACGTAGAAAACAGAACACCTGTCCCAGCCAACTGCCAGAATCTCACTCTTGGTTCTGCAACGTCGTGCTAACGTCAAGTCCATCAAGTGTGTGGTTTGAAGGGAGTCGGCACTCCCCCATTTGGTTGTTTGTGTTGGCACTGGCGGGGGAAACAACACAAGTAGTCATGCATGTAGATATAACGCCAATCAATCAGTTTACAATTCTGCGTTATCAACTCCCTATACTACAGTATACGTATACAAGCGAGCCCTAATGAAAGTCCACTGTTGCTATACATTCCAAGAAGTTACTGGTACTATTCGTTTTTTCATTCTCTTAACATCTTGTCACTCAACGCGCCGTAAAACCATGCGTTCCCACTCCGCCCTTCCCCCTCACTTAACGTTGTCGAAGAGTACATGTGCGCTTGACATTGAAACA